CAGATGCGAAGTTCCACTTCCTCTGCGATAAAGTAGCTTGCTCCACAGTGATAGTGGCTGCACCACTTGCAAGGGGCAAAAGCCCCCGACCCACCTTCACTGGTGAGCCCATCGCTCTTCTTCTTTTTCTCTGTCCCGCTCTAAGGCGGGGTCCGCTCTTTTTATTATACTACGCCACTTCTCGCGATTGAATGCCTGGTCGAGATAGTTGCCAACTATCTTCAAGTCCGTGTCTAGCCATCGCTGTTTGGGGCGTCCCTCAGGCCGTTTTCCAGTCTCACGAACGGTGTCAGAATTCGCGCACAGTACGTGGCCCTGCCAACGGACGCGAGATTCGCGCATTTTCTCGGCTACGGGAGCTACACCGAATCTCTTCATTCATTGCGAACGCGATCCCTGCGCGTGAGGCCGGCCGTCCAGCGCAGCATTTTCATCTCCATTACGCCGAGGCGGGCCTCAACTTCCACATTCGTAGGCCAGCATTCAGCACCGTATATAGCGACAGGTCGAACGACGGTTCTACTGATCTTCGACTTAAAGGCACATTCCGCGATAAAATAAGGCTATGACCTCTCAAATGTGTCGGACGATCCGGAAGGCGATTTTTGAGGCTGCGCTACTTTCAAAATGTGAAAAACGGCAAGAACTCCGCTAGAAGCTGACTAATTAGGCCCATGCCGACCCTCACCGGCTGCTAGCTACTAGCTAGTAGCCACTATGTTATCTTTCTCTATAACATTTCGGACTGCTTTTTCTGCTGCTTTTCTCCGCTAATCAGATACTTAGCACTTTTTGTGCCTATTTGAGTTCCGTTTCCCGCAATTTGCGGTCGCGAACTGTGCCTTTAAGGCGTTCTGGTATTGCCTTATCGCAAAGAACGCCAGTCATAGAGCGCCATTTAGACCAGGCCGCACTCACACGCGCGCTCACTTCTGAGTCCAGACTGCCATCAGACGTAAGTGTAGATCCGAGATATCTCAACGTCGTCGTACGCTTAGCTCACTACCATTGACTCCAAGTGTATCGGACACACCTGAGGCGGTTATCAGGAACTCGGTTTTCTTGACGTCCAGTTTGAGTCCAGAGTTCGCCAAGCGCTCACACCAGGTTTGCACCTGTTGCTCGAATCATTCTTATCGTCACAGGCGAGCATCACATCGTCAGCGTACAGAAGCGTCCAAGGAGCCGGTTTTTGAAGGTCTCGTGCAATGAGACCCATGACGACAACGAAAAGGAGGCGCAGGAAGAGCGCAGAACCTTGATGCACTCCTCCCCCCTATGATGGGGAATCCCATGAAGCCTGCTGATGTTCGCACGCGACTTGTGGGCTGGAATACAGGATGCGCACCCACTCAATCAGTTCTTCGGGAACGCCGTGCTGCCGTAAGGCGTACCATATAACTTCACGCGAAACACGGTCGAATGCCTTCTCCAAGTCAAGGAAGGCTATGGACATGCTTTCGATTCTCACGATCAGATTCTCACGCATCTCCAGCAAAAGACGAGCGGCATGTATGGCGTCGATGGTGCTACAGCCGGTCACGAAGCCACACTGGTTGGTAGAGAGCTGGACGATATCACGAATGTGATTGTCAACAATTCGCTCGATAATTTCAGGCATAGTAACAGAGCGGCCTTTGCCTCCGCAACGGAGAATTGATCGATCATGTGAATAATGCATTTATCTATTTATTTAATATTGCACTCAAGCTGCTCCTTTACAAAAAAGAAACGATCAACTAGAACACATATTAGCAGAAAGCGTAAAAGCTTACTCGCCAATGTAACTTAAACCACGTGCCCACATCATTTTGAAGTGAAAAAATAGCAGGGAAAAAGTGTCGCCACAATCAAGCTGACCATTTATACAGATGAGAATTTTTTACCAGTGGTCAACACAATACATATGTTGTTATTTGAGAATAAAAATATTTGATGGAAGGTCAGCCCGGGCAACGCAACTAACCGTGGTTATTCCGGGGCGGGCCAAAGTAGATGCCTCTTTGATCTAAATACGAACCCCAGGCGTAAGACCCAGGCCCAAGTAACCAGTGCAAAAGCGAACTGGCAGAACTGACACCTGTTGACCTGAGATGAAAGTTAACAGGTGCCAAGTTCGTATTCGAAGATGCAATAAATGTTTACCGCCCAATGCCCCGCTATCAGTCCAAAAAAACTATGGCGCACTGGAAACATTTATACAAAATGGTATAACCATAAAGTAAAAAGCATGTACGAGAATAGCCCTTGGCCAAACTCATTCACAAAAGGCGTAAAAATAGATTTGAATTAAAAAAATTGGAGTATTACATGTCTTAGCCTCATTACCAGTGCCCCTATTCAAAGATGCAGAAAATGTTTACCGCCCAGTGTCACGCTATCAGTCCAAGAAAGCTATGGCGCACTGGAAACACATCTGAGAGGGGACTCAAAGTGCAGAAACGATGGTCCAGGACCCTCAGGCTTATTGGGCTATCTTGACTCTAATTGCTTATGAAAGCAATTGCAGACAAAGAAAAACCATCGAAAATGAAAAATAGTGGACTATGTTGTGAAATCAAATAAAGTAGAATTATTGAGGGGATCGAAAGCAAAGAGATTGCTCAGCTTCCGTTTCCCTCTCTAGGCTGTATGGCGGCAAGAGACCCCCCCCCCTTCCACCCAAACAAGCGAGCTCTTCACTGTTTTTATAACAAAATGGTCCTCTAGTGTTTCTGAACAAGGCACACCCAAAACAAGAAACAGTGGGTAGTCGGCTCAAATACAACCCAGCGAAGCCAGAAAGCGTTGTCTATTGTTTACTTACATAGTTGAGGCATGTCATGGAATGGCACCAGGAAACTGACTCCATTTCTGCGCGGGTGTCTGACGCAATACAGAGGTGATGTTGAGACACGCCGAGCCCACCCTCAGCGTTCCTACGATTGGTTGTTTCTTCGTGATTCAGCCACCTTGGTAGAAAACCCAGTCGGGGTAAGCCCATTCCACCCTCGCCTGACACTGCCCCGCTTGATTGCGAAAGCACCAAGTTCGATCAATAGCTATGAAGTAGTCATAATCGTGAAGAGAAACTGTGACAAAACTTTCGGCACCGAGCTTTCACGAGCACTAAACAAAAGGAGAGCAGGCAGGCCGGAGAACTGGTCGTGGCCACTCCCATCACCATATAGTCTTTAATCTTAAAAACTCAAGGAAGAAGTCTTTAGCAGAATAACCGCACTATCACGAAAACAATGGAAGGATGGGTGTGGCATGGGCAGTGGGCGGGGCATTGCTCTGGTCCGATGGAGAGTTTTACACCGAAAGTAGGGCACACATCCGTAAGTGCAACAGAACCACCTTGTATAAGGACGACGTCCGCATCAAAAAGGGTGTAAACTAACCTGGGTAGAGCACGCCGCGACTACTCCATGGGGTGGAGTATCTTTCTCGTACGGGTATAAACGTTTCCACTGCCCATGAGGCGTGTCAGGGGGCTGGCTTAGGCGCGGCACTAGCCCATTTTCCACCAGTTATTGTCGCTTGCTCCGCTTCAACAGATACTAAGGAAGTACTGAAACGCATAGGCCAAACTAAGCCCCTGGCACACCCAGAGGGGAACCACCGTAACTCGCTAACTATCAGAGGTTTTCTTTTTCCAAAGATCCACATGGAAAGACAAGGGAACGGCGACCGTCGTTACTACGATGTACGTGCCTACCCCAACTGGGGGCAAGATATGCCAACAGTCCCACATAAATCATCATATGTGTGACACGTTGCCTTCACTATGTGAGAGATCCACCCTTGGATTTACTTGTATTCCAGCTGTTCCGCTAACCTCACTTTGAAAACCCACCCCCATGATAAGCCTGAGCTGCCCCTTTAACCCATTGAACGCCGCGGCGTTGCGGCGACTCCCGTTTTCACTTCCTGCGTCTCCGCGCGCGTGAATTGCGTGCAATACACAAACGCGCGAAACGGGAGTCTTTGTGCCGCATGCCCCTTACTCATTCTGGTTACTTTTGCGCTCATTTCTACATTGTTCAATATGAATGATGACTTCTTTTAGCTGCATAGATGGATCTGGACAACGTAGAAGATCTAAACGTCAGTTTTGACAACATAAGTATTGTTATCATAATGAATTAAACACTATCAAATGTATTGCAAATTAACACTAATTATCACTAGTAGTCTTACTACAATTGTAGTGATGCGGAGCTATCATAAGTTTATAATATTAATGAATTACTTCAATGAGCAGCTTATTTCACGCCATCAAGAACTAAGCATAAGCAAAGCTCACTGAACATATACTCGGTGAGAATGGTTCAAGTCGCACTATTATCCACGAAAATACCGACCCACAAAACGTGAATTGTGGGCAATACACAAACGCGAGAAACGGGAGTATGCGCGTGTATTGCCTACAATTCACGCGGCGTTCAATGTGTTAAAGATCCACGCTGAGCGTGAGAGTCCAACTTAATCGTCCTCAACTTCCGTTATCAACTCTGCGCTTCCGTCAGCTTTTCTTTTGGCAGATTCTCAGTACTTATAACTGTCCACTTTGCTCTTATGCGAGGTACTCTATTAACATCAATGAATCAATGAATGCCGCTAACAGCTTTATCCACAGCGCAGTTACTTCTTGACAATCTTCGAACATTCATACAAAGTCATATCAAGGAGATCTGTGGTTTTAGTAAGGTAGCAGTTCCATTCCAGTTTTGTGATGATCTGAAAAAAGTCTTTGTTAATAACTAAGAATCTTATGAAACGCGCTTTGAAAGGAGGATCCACGATGATTCATTTTCGAATATTTAGAGATTTTTTAGCAACTGAGTGAATTTCATTCCACTTTTCTTCCACATTCTTTTGCAGCTCGGGTGACGATAGTGCGAAAAAAAATGGTGCAGCATATCTTTGCCTTGGTGTCCCCATGGTCAGTAGATCG